AACTTTTTCATATTTTGACCTTCTCCAGCTTTAATGATTACATCAAAATTATCACCGCTAGAAAGAAGTCGTCCAAACTCATTTGATAACTCCGATAATATGTTTATTTTCCCTCCATGGTCTTTACAGAAAGAACTTTGGGGAGAAGAGTTATTTTTTATTATTATTTTTTTTTTATTAAAAAAACGCAAATCCAGAGAAAATGAATCAGATAAACATCGTGATATACGTTGTGCAAAAGATCGAGAAAATAAACGGATGAAAAAGTCATCAGAAACCCCAGAACAGCGTGAGATGAGATTAAGAAGAGAACGCTCTAGAAAATATTGAATGAATGTTTTAACTGGCAAGATGAAAATAATCATCGGAATATTGTCAACTATCAGCTTCCGGAATCAGACCAAATACTTCTACAAAATTTTCGCAAAGAGATTGGTAAACTTAAACATAAAGATTGTCCTGCGTGTAATGAACGATTCCCATCCATCGATCTTATAAAAAGAGACTGTCGTCGCTGCTATAGTGATAAAAATCTGGTAAAAAAGTTTTCTGCTGCAAATAACATGGACCCAGGTGAAATCCTAGAGGAATTAAGAGATTTGACCGAAATAGAAATGCTGATTGCGCAGATATTTCCCATTGTTTCAGTATATTATCTTTTGTGGTGGTTAATATGCATCTTTTGGTAATGTTATCAATTTTACGCAAGTTGTGTTAGAGTTTGCAAAGCGGCTTCCCCGAAATCCATCATCACTTGATATTCTCATTATACGCCGTCAATCTGCAAATGGATTAGCATTTAAAAATTTTAATGTTCAACGTACTAGAATCGCTCGCACGCTTCGCTAGTTAAAAGAAAACAACTGTTATTATTCCGATATTGAAATAGATGCTGAAGTGTTGCAATCTCTACCTGAAAATGGTCCTATTGATAACAGATTACCTCAACACAATGATATAGAAGGTGAAGACGCAGATAATAATGATAACGATTCGATAGATAGTAACTTTGTTCCTGCTCATATTCTGTCTCCTAATGAAGAACGCGCTATCAAGATGCTCTTGGTCGAATGCAAGCTGACGAACTTCCTATTATGTGGTCGAATATTGATGAAAATCCTGTTAACGAGTTCCAAACTCCCAGGTACATTGCGCGCGCTTTTCCGATGTTGTATCTAACTGGTAATGCCGATCTTAGGTGAGAACATGTTAGAGATGTTAAACCCGCTGAATATTTCTTACATTTGCTCAAATATAAAGATGGAAGATTTGTGAGACATCCACGATGGCGCTACTTTGCACTAAATTCATAGATGAGATGGAAAGCACTTAAAGAGGGAAAAGTATATATAAAGCAGAATTTAAATGATCTGCAGTGTATAGTTGAAGATGTGCAAAAGATGGTAGAGTACGATAGTCATATGGCGGAAAAGATCATACGTTATAGCGGTGATAATTTTGATGTAATCATTAAAGCTGGAGAAGGTCAAAATATGAAAAAGTTCTTTGCACATTCATTAA